CCCCAAAACCCCAAAACCCCAAAACCCCAGATTTTATAAAAATATAGAAATGGAATATGATAAATGAAACCCTTATTGAGAAGATATTAAACTCAGGAAAATATTGGTAGATGTTAACCCTAATAAGATCAAGAAGATTGTTTGCCATCCAGAATTGCCTCTAATGCTGGTCTGGGATGCTAAAAGTACGGTCACTCTTTGGGAGACAGATGGGCACTATAGATGCTTGAACACGTTCACACCTTACACTCTCCTGGAAGACTCAGATGGGATTAAAGTGCCACCTCTTGGAATATCACTGAAGTCTGTAGCTTTTGCAGATGAGCATACCATAAAGTGGAGCTCTGTCAGCCAGATGGGATTTACAATGATAGAAGAAGAATCCAGTCTGGATCAAGATCATAGCCTCATAATCTTCGTATTCGAGTTGTTTATCATTTTCCATGACTACAGAACGAAGAAAAATAGATACCTCCAAAAGGCAGACATCGAGAGCAAAGGATTTGCATCTTGTATAGGAGTTAGCAAAGATTTTGTAGCAATCGGTAATACAGACGGGTGGATCACCATGTTTAAAATTTCTGAATGGTCAGTAGGAAGACTCTTATCAAAAGGATATCATACTAAAGCAGTTGTACAGCTGGACGTTCTCATACGATACAAGAAGGCATATGTTGTATCAGGAGGAAACGATGGTCTATGAGCTGTCTGGGCTCCCTTTTCATCAGTCGGAACACCAATGATTAAATATAAAGGGTTCAAGGGGGAATCTTTTGCCTCATTACAGATAAACAGACTCCAAGAAACAGTTCTATGCATGGGATCTAATAACACAGTTGGAATTTGGAATATCAAAGATGGATCAGAGCTATTTAAGATTAGAAATATTAAAACAAGAACCAAATCAACTATTATTGATACAATGCTTTGGCTTAATCCAATAAATACTGCCACCACTATTTCCGGTATTGCTAAAGATTCTACATTAGAACTTATCGAGACCAATACTCAAGCTAGGGTAGTCTCAAACAAAGGGAAAAAGAAAGCAAACGCAGTTTATGTGAGAACCCTATTTGATTTAAATTCCTTCCTAAAATCTCCTATTAAAGGACTCAAGTTTGTCAGTTGAGCAAACATGAGAAGCAGGCCATATACTACAATCCTTGCTTCTCATAAAGAAATTTATATTCTTGATGTAAAGAAATAAGGCCATTCCTTCTGGATGAGTGTTACATCAGAGAATAGAGCCAAATAAGATGTATATCGAATACTTGCTTAACAAAGATAATCGTATCAACCACTACGAGCTTGAGCTTGATATTGAGGATAGCAAGGTAATCAACAATAGAATGAACTTTAAAGGCTCTCTTGATACTTCTTATCAAGCAGATTTGCTTCTAAAGATAAGCCCTTGCAAAAGATTTTACTCAGTTGAATACATCTACAATGGAATTTTTGAGATTTATGTAAATCCCTCATACAGGTCAAGAACCACCACCAGGAAGATCTTAACAGGAGCAGGATATAACCTTGTCTGGAGCTCAAACAACAAGATGTTTGCAGTAATCTCTTTCCTTAATAGCTCAATGGAAGCTTTTGAAATAAATGCTGATGCCTTAAACCATCCAATTGCTAAACAGAAGTTGGAGAAAGATAATATAAAATCTTCTGTTGTCATCTACAAGATTGATTCTGACAAACCTCGTAAGGTATTCGTGTTCCAGAAGGTGCAATGCTATCATCTCTACACTAGCGGCCCTGTTCTGGGTATGTGCATTAACTACGAGATGCCTAAAGATGATGAAGCTAAGAATTCACAAATTATTGAAGCTAACAAAGCTCTGTTGTTCCTTTCTTGGGATACACAAAAGCCTGTAACTTCTCCAATGGAACCTCCTGAAGATATGGTCTGGTCTAAAAATTCGAAATTCTGTGCAATGTCTTACATGGATTCAATCTGCGTCTACAGCGTGAAGGATGGACTGGAGTTAGAGAACAAGTATAATTTGAGATCAAAGCATTTATCATTCATCACATATTCAAACTTAGATATCCTGTTTATAGTAACTGATACAGAAATTTATGCTTCTATTGCAGGTTCTCCTAAGGCTTCTCTTCATCTAATTGCCAAATATGACAAATCTAAGGTAGAATTAGGTAAGCTTGTTAATTATAAATTGTAATAGAAGGAGAAGAGAGCAAAGAGGACCCTAGCAAGGCAAACATTGAGCCAGCTTTGTCTCTTTTGACCCATCAATACTGAAAATTCTCAATAGGAATATTATCCCTTGTTAAAAACACATTGGTCTTACAGACTCACAGTAGTGAGATAAAGTGTCTTGAAATAACTAACCTGGAGTTTAAGAAAATTCTCCAGAATGGTGAGAACAGGGATTCTACCCTTCCCTTCTCACTTGCATCAGAAGGTAAATCCTTTTTCCAATAGCTAACATTTTACAGAAAAGAAAACAGAGGATGATGCTCTCTACAACTCAAGAGTAGTTATAAATCTTGTTCATAAGATTATTACTGACAAAAATCTTGAGAAAGAAGATATTAAATCAAAACTAGAGCTTCTATATGAGAAGTTGTTCACAATGCATGATTATAAGGGAGCCTTGATTGCAGCCATGAGTCTTGGTGATAAAATACTCATCTCCAAAGCACTAGAGGCTCAGAAGAAGTAGCCATTTTATCACAGAAATCCAACCATAAATATCTTAATCGGGGTTTTGGGGTTTTGGGGTTTTGGGG